TTAAGAGAATCACTGTTTTATAGGTACTATAATATATATAAGACATTGAAAACAGTGCACAACAACAGCTGTATAATATGAATCGTATTGACTTTTATTGTTGAATTAAACATATTAACGAAATAATTTTTATTGTGTTAAAAAAAAATTCTGTATTTACACAAAAGTCATGGATTTGTCAAACACACGAATTTCCCTATGTAGATTTCCCAGACGCGTAATATTTTATTAATCCTTCAGAATATTTATTTTGACAGTAGTTACTATAATATGACTGCATTGTTTTTGAATTTTTTTCTTCTTCTGCTTTTGAACAGTACTCTGCTTTGCATTGAGTTTTAAAGACATTTCTTAAAGAGGTTTGGCAACGTTGCGAGGAAAAATAAAAACTGAGCGATCTCAAATGTAATAGTCAAAAGGGTCTAAAAAATGTATCGCCAATAATGATCGTTCTCAATCGTATTATTGCCCTTTTATTTCTGTGTTAACATCGGTGATATACGATTGCGTACGTTTTTCCCTTTTAGTAGAACGATTGCGTACGTTTGTACTATTGCGTACGATTTCTCTACCTATACCTTAAAATATTACGATTGCGTATGAAAATGAGAGCAACGTTGCCAACATGTACTTACTACTTAATATAATATAATTTAAGGTGCTAAAGTGCGACAYGCCAGGAAATCCGATATAATAATCGGCATTTTATCTTATCTTATAGTATTTTATAGATTATCGAAAGGTATTAAATTGGATAATTGGAAGGATTGGCCTGGGAATAATAGTCACAGTAACGTTTATCAAATTGTATCAAGTATAAGCAATAATTTCCTAAAATAAGTTATTTTATGATTTTGAACAACGGCAACGTTKCACTAAGCTTGGGTAGGTAGAATGTACGCAATCGTAATAATGAAAAAGGTCCATACGCAATAGTATCATGCGCAATCGTAACGCACCCGTTAACATATTATATACAACAATGAGGAATCGGGGACCRATGGCCTAGCGGTCTTCGAAACCTTGGACAAATATGGGAACATAAATTGGGTGGTGAACGAGATCTGATCATATCGGGGCCGCTTATGAAAAAAGTGGCATCCGTTCCGTGAGTCTCGTTCGGTGAGACCTACTCAAGTGTGCTGTGGAGAGGAGTGACCTAAAAAATATAGAGGTTGTCCTGAAAAGGACAATTTTGATTCCACGGAGACTAATCCAAATCGGCGTGGGGTATTCGTCGGCTGGCCATTGAGTCGACTTCAGGGTTGTTTGTTGCTGGTGTGCAACTGGTTGACAACTGGCGGTCGTCGGGGTTGGGCATCAAAACCGATAGCGTGAAGCAAGCCTGCAATTAAGTGGATCGTTCGTGAAATGGCCGTTATATACGTCACTTGATGACAATTATATAATAATATATAACAATCGGGATACGCTTTAGGTATGCCGCTGGTGGCACCTGATTGTACTATTATGTTTTGACAGTTGAGGGTTAGGGTGAAGACTGACTTAAGTTTTGTAGCTAAACAATGCATTATGTATTACAATTTGTAAATAATGCATTTATGGGGAATTCCGGTGCCGGTTGGTTGAGTTTTTCCCACACACCAAAATAATATTTTCAAAGTATTTACAAAATATTGTATTATAAATATTTATATTTTATAAACATCTTTAGATAATTATCAGAACATTTTGATATATTTTRAAAATATTTTGAGATCAATTTTTGGCAGGCAATCAAATATTTCCACAACATTTTAAAACATGGTTTAAGAGTGACGAGGGAATGTCTTTTTTTCGCATTTCCCTTTTAAGAAGAACTTTTGCTGTGGTGCGGGTTCCTTGATTGGTGCGTGCATTTTTCCCTCATCAGCCTCTTGTAACTTATTTATTCACAAACCAMCTTTGTTAGTCAAGTTTCCCTGACAAAAGTGTGAGATTAAATTGTCAACGTGTGATTTCGTACACACTGTTGGTCTTGAAAAAGACCTTTTTACG